ACAAGGCGTGGTTTTTTAAAGAATATTTCTTCAAAGTACCAACACAAGGCGTGGTTTTTTAAAGAATATTTCTTCAAAGTACCAAGGCGTGGTTTTTTTAAGAATATGTCGTTCGCCAAAGGGTCCACATGGCGTGGATTTTTATACTTTCACCACATTGCGGTACAGAATATTATGTCTTTGTGCATATGTTTGTAACAGGCAAAAGGAAACGAGATAGGCCCGTGGTTCCTTCTGAGAATATGCATGGAATCACTTTCTGAGTCTTTATGCATGTCCGTCCTTCTGTCTATGGCTGTCCAGGCTCCCATATATAATTTCGTCCGATTTAAGGTAAATGGTGAACCAAAGTCCCTATTTATCTTTCGATTCACACGAAATTTGGCATAGCGTACTGAATTAAGTCTAGAACGATTTCGTGAAAATCGGTTAAGATTTAGATATAGCTCCCATATGTATTTTCGTCCGATTCAGATTTCGATATAGCTTCCATATATATTTTCGTCCGATTTTATGTAAATGGCGCTTCAAAGTCCCTTAAGGGGACCCCCCCATTCTCGGGGTCAAAATTTTTTTCATTTAATTCGATTCTACACTAATTCAAGAATGTCTCTACAAAATTCCAAGTGAAAATCACAAGAACTCTTGAAGATATAGCCGATTTATTGTGTCAGCATCAAGTGACGACTAAAGGGCTTCTCAAACTTTAAACGCGTTTTTCTCTTTTGCGAATGGCGAGCACGATAACTCAAAAACTAATAACCCAATCGATTCCAAATTTTTACACTTTTTCTGTGAGTGTATAGCTATCGTATGAACTAGGATAAAGCCAATCGGTGAAGATCTTCCTTATTTTTTAACTTGGTTTCTGGTCAAAAATCGGCGATTTTCCAAAAATATTTTTTCAAAGGTCCGCCATTTTGTTAATTTCAGAGCGAAGTCAATAATCCTAGTTCATACGAGAGCCAGACATATATCATTCGATATGCACGAAATATGGGACAGCGTATTTAATTAATTATGGAATAATGTGTGTCAAGTTTAGTGAAAATCGGTTCAGATTCCGATATAGCTCCCATATATATTTTCGTCCGATTTAAGGTAATTGGTGCACCAAAGTCCCTAAATATCTTTCGATTTGCACAAAATTTGGCACATCGTACTGAATTAGGTCTAGAATGATGTGTGTTTAGTTTCTTGAAAATCGGTCCAGTTTTAGATATAGCTCCAATTTATATTTTCGTCCGCTTTAATGTAAATGGTGTACGAAAGTCCCTATATATCTTTCGATTTGCACGAAATTTGGCACAGCGAGTCTCATTGAAATCGAATCAGATTTTGATATAGCTTCTACACATACTTGTTCGTCCTATTTTACAGAATTTAGTTGAAATCGATTTAGATATAGCTCATATATACAGTTTCGTCAGATTTTGAGTAAAAGGAGCACTAAAGGCCCAAAGTTAGGCCGTTAGCTACAAAATTTTGTACAATGTACTGAATTTAGTATAGCGTACCGTGTGCTAAGTATTGTAAGATTTAGGTATGGCTAACATATATAGTTTTGTCCGATTTATTAGTAAATGGTTTACCAAAGACCCAAAGGTAGGCCGATTTACACAACATTTTGCACAACGTACGGAAGTTAATAAAACCTAGCGTGTGGAAAGTTTTGAAATCGGTTCAGATTTGGATAGAGCTCTTATATATATTATCTCCTGATTTTAAGTACATGATGCACCAAGAACTCAAAATGTGGCCGATATTCACAAAAATACTGAAATTACAGCCTGTTTTTGTATATATATATATATATTCCTTCCAAAATCACGTCGGTTATAATTCATCAATATATCCAGTGGTGAAGGGTATCAGATAGTCGGTCCCGTCCGACTTTACTACTTTCCTCATTGGTTTCAATTGAGGCGTGATTTTTTTTTCAAATGACTTACAGGGCATGTATGTTTTTCAAATGACCTACAAGGCTTGGATTTTTCTAAAGGACCTACAAGACATGAATTTTTTTCAAAAGATCTACAAGACATGGATTTTTTAAAGCACCTACAAGACAAGTATTTTTCAAAGGACCTACAAGCGAGGATTTTTTCTAAGGAGTGGATTTTTCAAGAATATTTATTCAAAGGTCCTATAACAAGTTTTTTCAAAGGACGTAAAAGACTCGATTTTTTTAAGAATATTTATTCAAAGTACCTACAAGGCGTGGATTTTTTTAAAGAACATACAAAAATATTTTATTAAGAACCCCATCCAGAACCCCAATAGAAAGCAATATCTAGTGTTTGGTAGTAGACTAAAGACATCTCTAGGAAACGGTTCATAATGAACAAAATTTAAAATACCAATGTTGCAAATGCGAATAAGAAATGATCCACGCAGTTTATGCCAAAGGAAACTACTTATATCTCCCATAAATCATATGCACTTCTATGAAGTTGGATAAATTGCCATCATCCCAGCGTTAAAAGGCACAAAATATATTTTATGAGTTTCTAGAAATGTATCAAACATACTTGATGAAACATTACACACAAATGCCAGTTGCCAGCACATTTAACGACCATTATTTGCAGTCTAACAGCATCTGTAGTATATTATTTCGTTGATTGTAATTTAAAATTTTGATTTTATGATCATGTAGCAAAACATTCATTGGTCAGGGAGAAACAAGTAACTTTTTACACACACACACATGTACGTATTTTTTCCGCATATCTAAAGCCAGAAGCTATAATTACAGGATCCTAACATTAACGAAGGCACGTTGTAAACTAAAGTACACCACATGTGTGCCAAAATAAAAATTGAACGAAAACTTCTTAATATATATACAATCGCAATATGAAGCCATACATAACTGAGAATACTAAAATAGAAATATTTTTTTAAAATTCACATCATCATCCTCCATTTTGGCGATGGTGTTTTGTATGAATATTATGTTTTGCTCAAAAGTTTTATTTTTTTTTTCAAATATTAAAACTTTATTTTTATTGAGAGTTTATTTTCATTCATTTTTGGACGTTCTAATAGCAGGGTGGTTTGTATGTGTTCATCAGAAGAATTTTTTTCAAATATTGTAGGTAACATATTTATTATATTTACCCATAGCATGAATGGTATTCTCAGCTACAGCAATAATAAACCAGTAAGGAAAGTAGTGAAGTCGGACTGGACCGACTATATGATACCCTTCACCACTTTGGGTATATTGTGCATATTTATCCTTACAATTGCATATCAATGTGCACTCGAAGGAACATACTCATGCCTTTCTGCAACCAATGCTAAATTTAATTTCATTTGGGCAGATTTAGAGTCGTCTGCGTACCATAGGACAAATTTATGGAAAACGGTACCTTGCACTGTTAAAAACTTAATCTCAACCAGACACCCGTTCGAAGAACATTTTGAGGCTATGGCTGCATAGGCACCGATTTCAACAAAACGCAATAACGCCATTCAAGTCTCAATTTCATATGTTATGCAAAATTTCGTGTTAATGGGACAAACATTAGGAGTTTGGTGCACCATTTATGTAAAATCGGACGAATATAATATGTGGGATCTTTATCGAAATCTGAACCGATTTTTCCGAAACGTAACACACAACATTCTGGACGCAATTCAGTACTCTATGCCAAATTTCATGCAAATCGATGAATATATAGGGTCTTTGGTGCACCATTCACCTTAAATTGGACGAAAACATATATGGGAGCTATATCTAAATCTGAACCGATTTTCAAGAAATTTTACACACATCATTCTAGACTCAATTCAGTACGCTATGCCAAATTTCGTGAATATCCAAAAATATATGGGACTTTGGTGCACCATTTCTAATTTAAAGAATTCCAAATTTCGTGCAAATCGATATATTTAATGACTTTGGTACGTCATTTGCATTAAATCGGACGTAAATATATATGGGAGCTATATATAAATCTGAACTCATTTTTCTCAATTTCAATAGGGTTCGTCCTTGGGCAAATAAATCCAATTCGAATTAAAAATACGTCCTGTACTTTGTTTACAATTTAACATGGACAGTCGGACAAACAGACGGACGGACATTCATAAATCGACTTAGAAAGTGATTCTATGCATATTCTCAAAAGGAACCATGTGTCTAAATTGTTTCCTTTTGCCTGTTACAAACATATGCACAAAGAAATAATACCCTGTACCACAGTGGGGTGAAGGGTATAAAAACATACACCATATATAAAGCGAATAATAAAAGCTACGTGTAATTCCGAAGACCTCCGCAAACCATAGTCTGACGGTATATATCAATGAAACTTAACAGAATTCATTCTATACATAATTCATTTTGGTTGGACAAACCTCGGGAGTTTTGTTTGTCATATATGGAAAATCGGAACTATTGTGGAATCGGACAAACATATATATGACAGCTATATGCAATTCTGAAACGATTTTCTTTAATTTCAATAGGGTCCGTTCTAAGTCACTAAGAACAGCTCTTCCATAAGCCGAGATTAAAAAAGATTTCCATCCAAGCCATCGGTCTTGTGCGCATCTCATCCAATTTGGACGACCATGTTCCGAGATGTTGTCTTCTACTTGATCTTTCCATCGGATTCGTGGCCTTCCTCTTCTAAGTTAGCTTTGCTAAATTGCATTTCATTCGGATCTCAAATGCGGCCTGTATTTTGCTTACATTTGTACATGTACAGATAGTTAATACATCGATATGATATGTATATCCTGAAAATGGACCATGGGTTAATTTCAAATTCTTTTGTATGTTTCAGACATATGTATAACGACATAATACCCTGTAATACAGCGCGGTGAAGGGTATAAACATATCACAATCGATCCATATAATTTTTACCGAATTGGTTGTGGTTCTCATTAAATACTCTTTATTAAGAAAGAAAAATTATCGGTAGAGAATCGGTACAGGTTCACTCTTTTGGTGATATTAAAAAACTGCAATAAAGTCAAACGTTGGAAATAGCATCAAATTTTATAATAAGTTTAAATTTGTTCGAATTGGTCATCTTTGGCACGAAGTATGGCCTTCAAACGGCCAATGAAACCGTCACACGCTGCCCGAATGTTGCTCTGCGGTATTTTGGCCCATTCCCGGCGAAGCGCTTGCTTGAGGTGATCGAAACTTTGGTATTTTTTAGTGCCAAACTTGCTTTTCAAAATACTTCAGACACAATAGTACAACGGATTGGTACACGGAGATTTTGGTGGCCATTGTGAGTTGGAAGTGAAACGAGGAACCTCATTTTGTAACCATTCTTGGGTGGTGCGTACTGAGTGTACTGACCTTGGACATTCCGTCCAAGGTCTGCGGCAAAAATGTTTGCGTGCCCAAGGCTTTAATACACCCTCCAGAATATTTTCGCGATAATACTCGGTAGTTATTCTGATGCCACGGTCCATTAATACGAGCGCAGAGCGACCATCGGCTGTTATGGCGGCCCACTCCATGTCAATGTCCGGCGCTTAAGTTTTGGTGGCCAACCGTGCACATTTTTTGTTTGTTTACAAACTGCTGGACAACGAATATTTTCTAATCGGAGAAACCAAATACGGCATTTCAACACTTTCGGCCAAGCGAAGCAACTCTTTAGCTATTTTGAGTCTATTTTCTTTCAGTCGAGGTGTAAGTGCTTGCAATGGCATTACCCCCAGCTCATTTTTCAATATTTGCCGAATGGAATATTGCGATATGTTCAGCTTACGAGCCATTTTTCGACCACTGCGGGTTTCGATTAAGTCGCTTCTTTACTTTTCGAGCCAATCGATGTTGCTGTTTTCTTCCGTCCATTTCCTTGACGTCGGGTTACGCTACTAGAGTCACGGTAACGAGCGATGGTACGAGACACAAAATATTTATTCACATTTAAATGCCGGAGTGCTCTAACGATCGATACCCACTTGTGTTTTTACAGACAAATATAAAGAAATCACACTATGACGCTTGAATTCAATCACGAATAACCTTTTTTCTTGAAAATTCTCACCAAAATGCTTTTGTACGCTTGTAAACAAAATAATGAGCTGTCACTGGAATAATTTTAATAGCTGTCGGACGAGTGGTTTAGAAATAACAGCAGTCTGAAGTTGGTTGCAGTTTTTTCATCTCATCCTGTTTGCACATAATACCCTGTACCACAGAGTGGCGAAGGGAATTTTGACTATTTTGTGGGGGAGATATTAAAAGGAGTGGACCGATTTTTCCAATCATCGATCTTGATTAAAGATTGACCGACTTTTCCCATATTCGATCTTGATATTGAAAATGTTGGCCCTTTGTGGCGGCCCGACATTTTTTAAATCGGGTAATCCGTATAAAATTAATTATTTGGGGTTTTGTGAATCCTCAATTATTTTAATATAGGCAATTACATTTAGAAAAAGTCATTGTTTGATGTGCTCATTGATCCGAAGTTGTGATTGGACCTTACTCCTTCGCAAAAAGGCGATATAAAGATTGTCAGCCTCATCATTCCAAGCGTTATGGTCATATGATCACGAATAACTTTTTTCTATAATGAGCACCTTATCGACCCCAAAATAAATATTAAACTTATTTTACGATTATCTCCAATTATTCGTATTGTAGCTTAGCAAATTGCTTAAAATTTTCCCCAAAGTCTATCCTCTACCTCCCATCTAATTTATCATCAATTTGAATGCAATATACCAATCTACTCCCATTGCCGATTGAAAATATTTCAATTATCGATTTCTAAACGATAGATTATCACATCACAACGACTTGACTTCAATTTTTTTCCCCTTTATTTTCATTGGTGTCGATTTTGTGCTATTTCTGCCTTTGCAAATTGAATACAGCCATGGGAGTCATCCAAAAAATCTAAACAGAAAATATTCATATCAATCTCAAGCCAAAGCAACGTTATAATCACGAGCAATATCTCAGATATGGGCGATGAATTGCTGTGGAATTTGTGATATTGAACCCGACCATATAGTTAGTGGTGGTAATGGTGCTGCTGATGTTCATCCTGATGCTATGCTAAGCTATGGTGTGTGTGGCTCACGTCTTACACTATGCAAATTCTTGCTTCATTTCTTCGATTTCGTTATTTATTTGCCTGCCAACGAGAGCGAGCCACACAAACAAACCAAATATTGGCGATAAAGAAGAACAGCATCTTTACGGTGGTTGTGGCGGTGCAGGGATGCTGCAACATAACTTTTGAGCCAGCAACCTGCAACATTGCACGAAATGTTGTCAAACAACATTCAGGCACGATTCTGGGAAGAATTTTTGTTATGCCATTCCATCTTCGTATTCTTCTTTCATCTTATGTACATATGTTGTTGTTTCTTTGGGTTCCACAGAGAAATGGGAAAATATTGAAAGAGCAACTCTACTCTACACCACTTCACCAACACCATCAACGACACCAACAACAACAACAACACTTAACAGTAACAACAATTGAAATATATTTGTTGTATCGGTTTGCGGTTTTCGGTTACATGCATGTAAGATGAGATGTAGAGTATGGGGAGCCAGCCAGCAAGTTAGCTAGCTGGCAGGCTGGCTGGTTGTTTGGTTGACTACACAGTCATCGAGTGAATGCCGAAATACCGCATACCATCGATATGGATGGACCTTGCTGCATGACGACGACGATGATGATGATATATGCATGCAGATTGGTTTCATTTTGGTGTAAGAAAGAGTAACATGGTTCGGTGGAATGATGGATATTTCAATAGGGGAATTTTTTTCAACGAGAGAGCGAACTTGATTTATTTTGGGAAGAAATATAACGATGTGAAACATTTTGGAGACATACAGACGGACATGTGTAAGCCCCCACCAAATTGTCTGAAATGGATTTGGTCCAAAGATTGCGGTTAGGTGTGTCACCTGTGAGAATCTAGTGGTCCACATTTAAGTCAGCCTTCACATAACCGTTCTTTCCAAAATACAGAATTTGGTTTTTGGTATTTTGTATTCTCACCTCTCTATTGGTCTAAAACCAATATTTCGATGAGACAACTTTTTATCGCACCTTCAATAGCCGCATTTCTAACCACACGTGGTACATCATAAGCAAGTGTATATGAAGCTTGAAGATGGGACTTATCGGTCCACTCCTTCTAATCCTCACCCACAATGGGCCTAAATTTTTGAAATTTTTTTAAAAATCAAATACCCATTCGGATCGTCTTAGAAGACCATAAATATCGTTTGATTTTATGCGTCACCTGTGAGCACCTTATGGATCCACTTTTTAGGCCAGCCTCCATATTATCATGCTTCCCAAAATTCAGAACTTAGTTCTCGGTATTTTGGATTCTCAACTCTCTAACAAAAATTGTCAACATTTGCCCTTAATTAGTCTCCGTAGGACGATAACTACCATTATTTGGAATTTTTGGTGCCCTCGGGCAAGTTTTTCAACTGAATTGGCTCTAATATGATATTTAGGATTCCCATTGGCCCCATTAACCCCATGTTTGGGCGTAGCTCCCATAGAGCAGTACCCGCATTTTTCGCTACTTGGGGGAACTTACACCCTTTTTTCAGTCGAATTAACTGTAAAATCTCTCTACCAAAAATGATCAATATTGGCCTATGTTTCGGATTAGTCACAATTGAACGATAATTCCCACTATTCGGTATTTTTGTAACCTTGGGCACGTTTTTCAACCGAATTGGTTGAAATTTTATAGTTTGGATTCTCCTTGGATAGAAAATCTTCATACCAAAATTATCAATATTGGCCAAGGTTTCGAACCAAAGAACGATATTCCCCATTATTCGGTATTTAGGAGACCTTGGACACGTTTTTAACCGAACTGGGTAGAAAATCTTTCTACGAAAAATTATCCATATTGGCTCATGTTTCAGAGTAGTCCCTATTCGATGTTACCCTTATTATTCGGTATTTTTGGGATCTTGGGTACGGCGGTATCTCACCTTATTCGGTATTTTGAGGTTTTTAGGCATTTTGTTTTCAACCGAATTGGCTGTAATTTTATATTTTTGATATAGTATAAAATCTCTGAACCAAAAAAATATCTATATCGGACCCTGTTTTAGAGTAGACCCCTTAGAGCGGTACCTCCCATAATTTCCGATTTTGGGGTCCTTTGTCACATTTTTGGACCGATCTGAAAGAAATTTGAAATTTTGGAGTTTCATTGGGTAGAAAATCTCCCTAAGAAAAATTATTTTTGAGACTTTTAGCACTTGAACTGACCGAAATCTTCTCATAAAATATTAATGCCGGTCTACATTTAGGAATATATAGGAGGTTTTAGCCATATTCATCCCTCTTAAAGGGACCGCAATATAGCATTCCGGTTTTTTGAATGGTAAAGCACATTTATGCAGAAAGGAAACTCTTTATCCCACTTGCGGACTTTGAAGATTCTAGAAGTATCTCACACCTATATGGATGTAATTTAGCATTCCGTATTCTTGAATGATGAAAATATGTCAGCAGATAATTTACAACGACATAGTCACTATATGATGTTACGCACCTTTTCCAAAAAAACATTCTATATTCTAAAATACAACTACATTACCTATCACCCCAATCCAAACAACTTTTAACACCGCACATTACCACAGTGAATAACTCTACTACTACTTGTTATGCTCTTGTATGTTGCAAATACGGTTGATCAATTGCACGTTTACAATGTGACTGGTTTCCAGGTTTATGGTCAAGATGTTCGGTACTTTCCCTTAACCCCAAAACTACTGGAATGCAGTAATATTTAGCAAAAATATGCCACTTCATAGAATTTATATGTGAAAGAACGATGGCACCATCGTCATCGTTGTTGTTAGACACAGAAGCAGCCACAAATTTCCAAATTTTGAACATGAACATTTAGCAGGAATCTGATGTTTGCTAAGGAGGGGTGGGGGGAGCGATGTGGATTGCCATATAAATACCACAAGGATAGCCACATTTTTGGCAATATTCATAGTTTTAACCTCTGTGCATATCGAAGTGTGTGTGGGAGGTGAAAAGTATCATTTGCAAATTACAAATATATATATATTGCCATAACCTCAAAAGTCGTATGTTTACACCTAGGTTAGGTTACCTACCGACCATAAACAAATCATTTTTAATGGTGAAATTAACTTAAGATTATTTTCGCAATGAAGATGAAGGGATAACATAAATTATATTTATGGTATTTGTGGGAATAAAATTAAAATTTAATATTAGAGAGATTGGGATGATGATAATTATTTGTATTTCCCATTTATCTATTTCGGGTTAAAACAAATAGAAAACCAGTAAGGAAAGTAGTAAAGTCGGACGGGGCCGACTATATGATACCCTTCACCACTATGGGTATATTAAAAAGAAGGGCCAATAACAAGAAATTGGATGAACTAAAATATGTGACCTTTATCTAAATGTGAACCGACTTAGATCAACCCATAAACATGTCATTCGTTTGTTACAATGGGACAGCAAATATCAATCGGGCACCCGTTCAATTAACACGAAGTCGGTCAGAAAATTAAATCGGGCGAAAATATATGGGATCTATATCTAAATCCAAAACGATTTTTACGAAACTTAAACCACATCATTCTAGATTTAATTCAGTACGAAATGCCAAATTTCGTGCAAATCGAAAGAT